CTGTCGTCTTGTTCTTTTTACAGACGGCGGTATCTGCACTCCTTCCGTCAAACGCTCCTCCTTTATCCGGACTTGCGACCGGCACAGAAGCCGCTGGATTGCGGTCTCTATGGTGGAGTTTATGATCCAATAAGTAACAAAAATATAAGTGGGAAAACAGGTAAAAAAAAAAATTTCACACACAAACAGTTGACTATAAAATAATACTTTATATATAAATGCATTATGATTCATATGAAGAAAAAAAAAAAAAAAAAAATTAAAAAGATTTTCAGAAAGCTATTTTCCTAATAATAAAAATCTATCATTCTTTACAATGGATTGAGTCAGAATACAAAAATTTTTCGCTTCGGATAACGCTTTCGACACAATTTCTAAAAAATAAATTCTATTTTTAGGTAATGATATTGATGGAATTCCTCAAAATGATATTGAACATATTAAATCTTATGTAAAAAATCATCCAAGTGAACGAATATTATTATCAATATTAGCGGCAAATTTGAAACGAAAATATACAAAAGAACAATATTTACCAATTTTGCGACAAATGGAAGCAGATGGAGAAGGCACTCTCACAACAACAGATAACACAACCGGTCCAAAAGCATTAGTTTTTATTAAAAAGCGACGAAGTGAGCAAGCATCAGAATCTCACAACGATACTGCCAGCAATCAATCATGATTAAAGTATAGTTCATTTAAGTACAGTTTTTATCTGTAAAATAAGTTAAGCATTATTGGTGAAATAGAATAATGGATCTTCTATTTAAAATATATTTATAATTTTATTTTACACTGACAAAAATAAAATCAATTTTAAAATGTTTTCAGATAAATAAAATACATTATGAGCGAATTCTCATCAGTCATATCAACATTAGAATGGTTAAATAAAGCTGTATCAAACAGTCAACCTTTGTAAGTTTAGGATATGAAATGATCATTATCTATATTAATCATTGAGACATGTGTAACGATAATTTGATTATATCGTGATATCGAACTGTTTTATTTCAATCGTCCTCCTCCTTTTATAGTCACCCTCCCGTTCTCCGGGGAGCGTCAATCAACCGGAGAGAGAACAAGACGAAGAGGAAGAGAGAACACGACGAAGAGGAGGAGAGAACACGACGAAGAGGAGGAGAGAACACGACAGAGAGGAAGAGAGACACACGTCGAATGGGATAGATGAATTTGAACACATACTAGATAGTATCAGTGTGTATAGAGGAGAAGTCGTTATATACATTAATTGAGATAGAGCGAGTGCTTATATCGGCACCCCCCCCCCTCCATTCAGACGAGACGCACTCCTGAGCGTCTGTTTTTTCCATGGGAGTATTTTTTAGAGAGAGAGAAAAAAACACATCAAAGAGGAACACGTACAAGTAACGAAAAGATAGAAAAAAAATTAGGGAGCGACAGCAATTAGTTGATTAGCATTCACGCAGTGAGAAAAGAGTAAGTGATGTAAAACAAACGTTCTTTCTTCTTTTTTTTTTGATTACATACTAATTTATGTACATTGTTGTATTCGAGTGCCACTCGACTATCTATTTACAAGTTTTCACGGTCGTTGTTGTCTCTTCTTGAACCGTTCTGCTGTTGTATAAATGTTTCAGCTTATTTATATTTGCGGCATTATAATCATTTTCGTTGTTGATGTCTTTTTCATTTTGCTTCTTATTCGCACGTACAAAATAATTAGAATACTTGCTATTATACCGAGTGGCACCACCCCTATTCCTAGTCCATGTTGATACCATGATGTTGACGTGACTGTCGTGGTTGGTGCTGTTGTCATTAAATATTCAATTATATTTTTTATATTACCTGGTATATATGGTATTTTTTCCCATCGAGTGTCATTACTCATAGCTTTGTGTAAATCAATGAGATTCGAATCGTCGTAATTCAGTTTTTTGTTACCAATAATTGGGATAAATTCGTTGGTACCATTTGTAATGCTTGGTAAGAAGAAATTGTCACGGCTCCATGCTGTTGATTTGTCTATGGTGATCAATGCAATTGGTGGGATGGTTAATTCATTATTTCTTGTTATCGCATGTTCGCCTTGTTCTAACTGTGTGACTCGGTGGCATTTTGTTTCGTTCCTTGTTGATATCGCCCATTGTTGACCAACTCTTTGTATAAATATTGGTTCTAGTTCATGTTCAATACGGCATAATGTTAAATTTGAGTCAGTTACTATTTCAAATAAACAGGTCTGGTGCCAATTTTTATTGATTGGTGGTGTTTCTCGACATGAGGGGGTGGGTGGG